TAGATTCTAAGCCCTGCATCAACCATTCCTACAAGCGGCACCATAAGATGGTCAAGAGAAATAATTTGGGCTTTTTTTTTTTTTTTTTTTTTTTTTGGGTGGTTGTTGTTGCTGGTCTTTTCTACCATAATCTATTCCTTTCTTGCCCCGGTTTCAAATATTGTTTTTGCCTTCTCAGCATCTTCATATTCCTTCCAAATCTGCATTTCTAGAATTCTTCTATTTTCTAACCACCCCATCTTGTTATTTCTCCAGTGTCTTTTCCTCAGAGCTGCCTCTGCTGTTGGCATTCACTGCAATTTTAAGTTGAATGATGGAGGCAGAAAGATGAGCTGGGAAAACACGCAGAGTGGAAGGCAGGAGAATGGTGGGTAGATGCAGAGATTGTGAAGGTGCAAAGGGCCAGAATCCAGCGCATAAATGACCCAGGAAAGCAAGAGTTTCCACCTTTTACTACCAAATCCCTCCCTGGAATTTCTTATAATCTAAATAAAACACAGCAAACTATTCAAAAGGCAAATGTTTATTAGGTACATTGGATTTAAAAAAAATCAAAGAATTAAGCAAGAAATATTTAAATATAACAAGTATATGTTATTGCAACTGTGCTACATTACAAAATCACCTTTCTACTATCAGCACAATCTGAAGACCTTAATGCTATGTGCAAGATAACATTACATTGACTCTGGCACACACCAAGTCATCTGCAAGTTTTTGTTCAGATTGGATTTGTGCTGTACCACACTGTTCTTGAAGACAAGCTTAGCTCTTGCTGGAGCTAATTTACAGTTCAGTAAATAAAGGAACTGGTAAGGAATACCGTCAGCTACTGTTTTGCTCAGCAAGAACAAAAATCAACACGCATTCCAGGTGAAAATAAAGTATCATACGAATACTAGTTAAGTAGGTTACTTCTCTTTCAATGGCCAAGTAGCTCCTATGAATCTGACTCCAACTTGCTATGGCTTCACCGAAAGGAGAACAGCCCCACAGGTCCAGCGTTTACGCAGATGAAATTAATCCTAGTACATTTTATTCAAGTCTCTTATTTTGCTTATTGCCATGCTACACCATATTATTGCTTTATATTATTTAAGCTATGTTTAGGACCAACAAGTCAGAGTGTTCTGAAATATGGCAAAAATTACTGACTGAAACAGGAAATTACATATGAATGACAGGAAGTCAGTAACAAAACTTTGCCAATGAGGGAGTACTGAAAATGAAAAATAAGGAAAAAAAAATCAAATATTGAATTCCCCAAATTAAATCTGCCATAACAATAGAAAAAATAAGTTTTTATGCATATTCTGAATAAAATGTTTACTTGTATTTCTGGTTAATGACTGGCAAGATTTACTTCTCTTTAGAAGATATCAGCAGTCTGGACAGTGAGACTGATCCTAATAAAATATTAGGTAACAAACCAGAAGCATCAACCCACACTCAATTTCATAATATTCAGATAAAAAAATTAAGTGAATTCAAGGCACACATTTTCAAAATCATCACATTATTTTCTTTGGAACTAAGTGGTAATTACATTATTAAAATGCTGTACATAAGAGCTTTTATAGGTATCATTTATAACAATTAACAGAAAATAATCACAAAATTACTCACGTGCACACAAACATGAGCACAGACTAAAGCACTACAGTAGAAAGAGTACATCCCTGTAAATAGAGCTTTTATACAGTAAAACTATTCTGGATATATACTCAGAGTAACGTGACTTTATGTATAAAATCTGTTACAAAAGAGAGCTGACAAAGCCTGTGTGTGGAGAATCTGGGCTGTGATCACATCTGCGGTGGGGTTGGCCAGAGGCTGCCTGCTGTGTTGTGGCAATGCTCTCAGCACCGACACGTTCCTGATAAACTGACAGCAACTGTCTGGTCACTGTCTAGTCCCCAAGCAGATAAGCAGATTTCTCTGCTTAAATATCTTTTCAATTTCATCCCTTTGCAGCCTCCTTTTCAGCATTATGCAGATTTTTTTTAATCACACACCTTTTAAAGGGGAGTCTTGTGTGCATGAGAGTCTGTGTCCAGATGAAAATATTCCTATTGCTTCAGTGTGGTCAAGTCTAGGGAGATTCTCAATCTGCCTGAAAGGACTTTTGCTATTGTCAGTGGCACAGAAAACCAGACCCAGTGTGCAGTTGGGCAGTGAGGAAAACCAAACTTTCTTGCTTTGCACCAGAAGACTTCAACGACATAGGCATCTTCATCGTGCTGCCTGAAAACACCGAGTTGATAAATGTGAAATATTTTTACCAGCTGAGTCTGTGTCCAGAACTGCAACCATCCCCAAAGTCCTGTTTTTCAGCAAGCTAAGCAGAACACACAAACCTCAAGTGCTGAGTTTGTCTCTGCCCGGCCAGAGCTCCAGCACACCAGCCTGCCCCAAGCAGAAGGGACATCTGGAATCCCAAGAAGCAGGACTGTCCTTGCAAATCAAACAAAAATAGGGTAAACTGAGTAATCTGAGATAAAAGGGTAGATTCCGCTTTCTGAGGAACAGCGGAGGAACCAACAAGGCCAGGTTACCGAAGCTTCTTGGTGGCAGGGAAGTGGAAGGGGTGCGTGCCCTACCGCACTGTAACATCAACTTAGACAAAGTGCAAAGGGAAGAGACTCCATGAATTGTCTCTTTAGGCACTAACAGGAGGAAACCCAGAGATAAAGCAAACTATCACCAAGTATTATTAAATGCTTGATGGCCAAGAAATAAACGGATACATAATATATCTAAAAGCAAAAGGTCAGAGGGTACACTATGCTGCATTGCTCAATTTTCTACACAGAAGCATCATGAAAACAAGCTGCAAAGCAGCACAGTTCAGTTAATATTATATTGCAAAGTAAAGAAACAATTTCACCAGAGAAGACATGAAAAGGGAGAAAGAAGACATTTCCTTTCATTTCTTTAGTAGTAAAATACTTCAAAGATTAATGTTAAAGTACTGGAGAAATGACACTATTTTCTTTGAGACTTGACACCTTTTTCCACGCGCTGTTAGACTGAAGTTACAACTCCGAGTGGATGGTCACTATGTTGGAGCTGTCAAGCCTGTTACTATTCACGGTAGATTTTTTTTTTTGCTTACTGTGGAAGATACTTTCATTGTTTCGTCCCTGAATATAAGCAAAGAAAGGAAAACAAAACCACACCAGTTCCAGGTTGATGTCCAAGCACATGAACAGCAATTACGTACATCCATATCACAGTGCAAGTTTTAGTCTTTGAATCCCTCTATACTTAAGTGAAATGCAGTGGAGAACAGGTGATTTAGGAAGTCGCATTCCTAAATAATACATCTTTCTAGAAAAATGGTATGTTTTCATTGAACCAAAGTTGAATCATTCTCTTCTAGCACATCTGAAAATAGTTTTAACGGAGCAGATCAGAAGTGCAAATCATTTTCAGAGTCAAATGGGAGAAAAAAAAAGTCACAAAATTTATGTGCACAAACCCCCTGACTGACCTTTAAAAAGAATGATTACATGAATAATTGCCATTTTAGCAATACTCCACACACTTAACTCTTCAGCATTGAGTACAGGCTCGAAAGAAAGCAGAAATTTTCTTCTGCATCTACATTTTTGCATTTACTGGTTCATTTAACAACTATTTTTAAAAACAATACATAACAGTAACAGAGTACATAAATGACTAAGATGACTAAACTATAAACTGAATCTTCAAAACCATAAAAAAGTATCTTGTTATTTACAGAATATTGCAGTTCTATAAACATGGAATAAATGATACCTAAACATATATGACATTATTCTACACTTATATGATGAATATTTAAGAACAGTTTAACATGATGATCACTGTCACAATCTCAATACAAACAGGGAGAGAAAATAACAGCAGAAGAGAAAATTTTCCAAATATCTCCAATGAAGTGCACCTACCATTTTTACATTTTCATCTACAAGGATGGGACAAGTTATATACAGTGTTAGGATTCATCAGTTACTGGGCAATTACCATTGCTATCAATGGACCTTCTTCATAAGTACTGAAACTACCTTTTCAAAGTAATTTGGTGAGTAGAGACACAAGAAACTTGAAAAAGGATTAATTCATCTGATTCATTTGTCTTACATTACTGAATTACTTCTATTTAGGACAATATGAACGCACGCGCTCAGGGACTGCTTTGCTAAGAACATCAATGATATGCAGAGATTTGTACATTACCAATATTCTTAACATTTACAACCAGTGTTTGGTATTTAGCCAGAAACTGAAATTTGTGTATTTTCCTGAGGTTACAAGTTAACGCATCACAAAGTGCAGCTCCAGTGCTCTTTAACAAGACACGACTGTATATTACTGAAAGTGGTAATTTCAAATTTGGCATGGCTTTACTGAAGGTCAGAATTTCACTCTCACAAAGTCACAAAGTACTCCGAGAAAAATAGATGGTTAAGAGAGTCCAGTAGAAAAAAAAAGATGTTCCAAAGACGATGTGGTGCTCGTTCTCACCCTCCTGAGCAGAGATCAGGGCCTGGCAGCGGCAGGGCTGGCTTGGCAGGGGTCTTAGGCTTTTTTCCCTGCCCTGGCACTAACCAGCTTCCCTTCTGGCTGCTGTCCTCAGGTTCCCTTGAAAATGAGTTTTTGATGTTTCTAGTGATTAGTAGGAACTTGGTACACAGACAACTATTTATTTTCCAAATCTCAAGTGCTATTTCAATTTTAATGAAATTGTGCCTCAACTGTACAACTGTCTACTGAGAAGAAGATGACCTCGTATGAAATCAGGGAGAACTTAAAAGAAGTTCTGGAGTCAAGGAGAACTTAAAACAAGTCTCCCTGGAGGAAAAAATAAAGGAAAAAGAAATAGGCCAAAATACAGAAGCCTCACAGGGTTCAAAATTCACCAAAACCCTGGCTTCAAAATCAGTCAGAGTATGCTACATAGCAGTTACCTCACATGGCTACATGGACAGGTCCACAAACATTTTTCGGGATACACGAAGGACTTTTCAGGAGCCTCTTCACCTACGGCCAAGTTGCTTATCATGCAGAACAGCTGAACTACTGTAAGTGACTGTTTGAAGAAAGGCCAAGAAATACTCAGGGGATACTCTGGACCTCTGCAGATGAATTAGTTGAGAGAATAATTTGTAAGCTGTGGGGTGCAATCTGAGTCCCTACCTCCATTATCATGTGATTTATAGCGTCATTCAGAAAGGCAAAACACACACAAAGTTAGCTGGCCTCAATTCCTTGACGAGGTTAGAGACATTCCATGAAGAGCAAAGAGCGAAGCCAGGAACGTTCAGACTTCGGCTGTATTGTTCAAGATTTGCAAGCACAGGGATTCAAAATGTGCTTTGCAGATGTGTGCCTGCACCTCCGCCGTCACCAGTTTTCCATGTCTTGTAGCCTTCTACTTCCAAAAAGCATTCAGCAATACTACGAATAAGGCCCATAGTGTTTCAGCATACAGTTGTCACTGCAGTATATTGCAGTAGCACAGGGACAACCAAGATGTCACTGTTCTCCTTCAAAAGAGAGTATTCCTCAGAGATTCTCATATATTTCCTATGTAGCTGAATTGTGATTTTTTTTTTTTTTTGTCACAAACCACGCATGACCTGAAATAAAGTCTACTTGGTGAAGTAATCTGCTTGTAAGAATGCTGTGCATATGAATTAAACTATATAAGATTTTTTTTTTAATCCTAGGTATTAATTTTCATAGATAATTCTTTGAAATTTACTTACTTGCCAATGTATCTTGCAGAACCCAAAACAACTTGTAGACATTGCTTCTTAGGATACAGGCACAAACACCTGTGAAGGCACTTTCCCCGCAAAACTTCCAAGCTTTTAATTACTAATCACACAGAGGTCAAAATTTTCTCCACACTAGTGCAAAGTACTAATACTGCACTCATCAGAGCACACGGCATATACAATTAAACTGGAGTTACTGGATAGATTGGTAGACTTGTCTTCTTTCTCTTTTTGTTTGGCTTTTTTTTTGAAGGCACAGGATACAGCTTTCATTTGACAGTTGGGAAAGGACATTTTCCAATTTCAGGGATCTTTAAAAACCTGTGCCACAGCAGACCACTGCCATTCATTCACGCCATCTCCTTTTTATTGTTCTTGTTTTGCTTTTTTGCTTTACAGCTTAAAGCCTTTTTCATTGTATCTATGAATTGTCACACAGCCGTGATACGATACTGGCCTGGGCATGGCTGCCACTCCCGTGATAATGCCCGTTGCAGGGTCGTAACAAAGGATAGTGTCGGTGGCTTCGCCGTTTTCTCGTCTTCCACCAAGGATATATATTTTTCCATTACACACAGACATGCCACAATTCTCCTGTTGCAAAATAAACAGAGGTACACATAGTTATTAAAAACAAACAAACAAACAAACCCCTCCAGTTCCTGAAGGTCTACCACTGTGCAGAAGGACAGCACTATGACTGCCACTTGTAACCAGAGCGGGTTACACTTTTCACTTCCAAAAGGAGCAATGCAGAGAACAGAACAGCTATTTCAGGACTAAGTCTTCAGGGCAGATAGCTCAGACAGGGAATAGAACAGACTGCAGTACTTAAAGATTAACACTGAGACATCTGAGATAAGGAAAGGAGCAGTGGGAGAACAAGGCCTTTCAAAAGGGAGACACAGCAGATTATATTAATGCTGAAGTGCTTCTCTTATTCCCACTTCTTAAAGAGCAGCAACAGATAACAAGGAGGGAAATAAAGGAGAAAAAGGAAAAAAAAAATAAAGAAAAACTTTGTGCCTAAGGAAACAGTATATAAGGAAAGGCAATACTATGTCTTGCAGGAAAGACGGCTACTCCTCAAAAGCTGGCATAGAAAAATAATCAAAAGGAAATGACAAAAACTGGGAAGATGAAGAAGGGGAAAGACAAAAAAAAAACCAACAAGCTTCTGTTAGCGTAGGTACCCTACAGTGTGTAATTAGGAAAGGTTTTAAAAGCAGAGGAGAAATTAACTGTACTACTGTAAACTGTACTACAGTGGTAGTATGTATTTAAATTTCGCTCGGGGAGCTCTTTTTCCGCAGTGATACTGCTCTCACCACAGTCAGGTTTTTTTTTTTTTTTTTTTTAAATACAGTATGTGGGGGAAAAAAGGCACTGTGTAGTGCAGAAAGTCTTTTATTTCCTGTTGTGTTGTAAGGATTTAATCAACTACAAGGCAATTACTGTCTTCAGCCCAAATTAAAACACCTAACCAAACCTGACATATCCAATATCAGTCAATATCCAAGAGTATTGACTTGACTATCTAATAATAAGTACTCAACCAGAAGACTAGACTGGGTAACGCAGCAACACTCAACTGAAAACTTACTGGTTTTGAAACTTCCTTTTCCATGAGACTGAATTATATATATGAAAATATGTAAAGCAAGAATGCAATCAGAAATGGAATTTCAACAAGGATTTTAAACGAGTCCTCACTTGTTTCATGCTAAAGATAGTCACATAAAAAAAAAAAAAATACCTGTTAGAAGTATACATGCCTTTATTACCTGTCTGCTGAATGTATTCTGTACATGCATCCAGTAGTCCTCAACTGGATCATAGCAGTATATTGCTTTAGTAAGCCCCCCAGCAACATAGATCAGATTGTTTAACGACACAGCAGTAATACATCTTTTTGCAATTGGGATAGTTGCACGGAGTAACCAAGAATTAGTATCAGGATCGTAAGACTGAACCTGAAAACAAACACATGTACGTGAGATTAAAAATTACTCTCTGGCATATCCTCCCAGATTACAGAATTAGAGTCAAAGAAGTGGTGCCTTATAGGCAATATATCATCAGTAAAATGAAGTCAATATGAATATGGGTTCATGGGTCAATGATGCTTTTATACACTCCCTGTCCCAATTCAGCACTGTTTTCTTAACTCTTTAGGTTCAAGTATTGAGATAGCTTATTTAATGTGTGAAGTCAGTGAAAATAACCAGTGAAAATACCAGAGAGCAAACAAAGGAACAGAAATAACAGCATATCAATGAATTAACATTTTCTACGTTGTATGTTTTCTAATACAACTCCAGTCAGCAAGCCAACTGAAACAGGTCTTTGCACAATATGTTTTTAAACCAACATGACCCACATGTAGAAAACAGAGGCAAACCCAGTTAGCTGACCTTGTCTGAACATGTGTTGTCATCAGGACCACCTCCGATCACAAACAGTTTGCCAACACAGCTGGTGACTGCTGGAGAGCTCACGGCTTCTTTAAGGGGAGCCACTTCTGTCCATCGATTGGAAAACGAATCGTAACACTCCACACTGCTGAGTCTGCTTTGACCATCGTATCCTCCAACAACATAAACCTAGCAAAGTGGTGAAAGCTATTACTGTTCCATATTTAGAGTAGTATAAAACGTCTATAAAAAATAAAGCTGCATAAATCCTGATTTGTTAGGTTTTTGAAGGCACACTTTCTCCCACTATTTCAATAAAGAGCAAGAAAACTATGACCTAAGAAATCATAGGTAAAAATTCTCAGGAGAGTTTCCATTCAGTCATATGTGGAATGAAAACTCTAAACAGACATCTGGAGGATGGTATTATAATCCAGAAATAGAAATGCCATATTTGAATGGGGTGTGTGCACTGGTTATTGCAAATTACATTCAGTAACAGCAGAAGGCAATCAGATTTACCTTTGCTCTTCGGGGTTTTACTTCCTTCCCACTTGCTTACAAAAATGATATTTCTTCCTCCATCTGTGTGTGTAAACCTTTCTTTTTTTTCCTATTGCTTCTCTCGAATTCAAGCAGCACAGCACATTATTATTTCTGCCTCTACATTCTCGCCCCTCTTTGCTCCAGCCACAGCTCTCATCTCAATGAACTTTTTCCTTCCAGGAACACCATCACACATCTTCACTAACTCATTAATGGAATCTCTGTGGGCTGTCAATCCCAACTATTGGTTTTATGTTGTATTAAAATACATAGGTCTTCAAAATGTAATAAAACTCCCACATTTTCTTTACAGTAATGTAACTGATTGACATTTTCAGTATAAAACACTAAGTAAAAGAGCACAGAGATGCCACTCAGAGCAGTAGCAGTTTCTTTTACTAACTGCATAAACACAGACAGTGACTTGTAAGTAAAGTTAACTGAAAGTAGTCTTGCATTATGTGGACAAATACTCTTGATACTCTTGAAAACACTTTTGAAGCTCAGCTGAATTCTGATGCTTTTTTGTTTTCAAAACAACAAAGCAAAAAAAAAACCAAAAAAGCTTCAAGTTTGACACTTCAAAAGCAAAAAAAAAAAAAAAAAAGGATAAAATGATTTTCACGTCTATGAATAATACCTGACCAACTAAGAGCATTAACTGTTTATTTTCAATATTCTTTAAAAAATATTTAAAATTAAAAAATTTGATAGGAGGCCATCAAGGTAACACTAAATGCTTGCACCTATTTCCTACATGATTTTCTTATATTTGGCGAGCACACAACTAAAATAAATTTTAAATATACTTCTCTTACTTTACCAAGAAGAACAGCCATTTTATGACGCCATCTGCCTTTATTTAAGGAGGCAACTCGGATCCAAATGTTAAGTTGGGAGTTATAGATCCACACATCCCGGCTATTGATTCTTCCACCTTTAAAAACAAAGATATGCCAATTTATCTCAGAATAAATTATTTATCCAGAAAGCATGACAGTAAACATACTCCTTTACAGAGGACAATGAGAACACGACTATATGACTTTAGTTATTTTACATGACTAAAGATCTATCTTTAGGTTGGGCTTAAAAAGTCAATTTCAGTGAATTGTGAGACACAAATCCATAGGACAAAGTGACTTTATTCCTATCAATCTTTCACAGTAACAGGCTGATAATGCATCAAATTATTTCTTGAGTCTGGATTGTATTTTAGTCATTTTTGCCCATGCTCTTCAGATTCCTTTCAGTGTTATGACCAGGACGAGATACCTGAACAGAGATCTGAACCATCTGTACCCTACGAGGCACATCCCTAACACAAGCTGTTGTCCTCAGTTTGGTTGGGCATAAGTTCTTACCGTTAAAACAATTAAAAGATAGAACAAATTGGAGAAGATGTCACTACAGCCACAGAAATTACAGTGCTCGGTCCATCAGTTTTTGGCATTGCAACAGATTTTATGCTTCCAAGCCACAGAGAGAGTTAGTGAAAAACTGACAACTCTTGCTTATTCCCTGGAAAAAGCTGGTATAAAGGGATCCCCAACTTAAGTGATACAAATCTGAAAGGGTTTGTTTGCATCTGAAATTCCTATGCTGAAAAGAAGCTTTAAATGTTTTCTCTCTAGAATTTGAATGATTTCCCTGGAATCTAGGCAGCTATACAACAGAAATGAGGCAGCAACAACATACCAGTGCTGCACTGCTCCTAGGCAACTGCTGTTTGCACCAGCACACACCACCTTTTGTAGCAGAGAAAACGCTGCTGGCAAAATATTGCCTGGGGTTTTTTTTTTTTTTTTTTTTGCTTGTAATTTTTCCAACTATCACTTTTCCAAGTGTGCTGCAAACAGGCCACTACGGCTTTTTAAAGAAGCTTATTTGATCAGCCTGCAGGAGCACATCCTCATCTCTTTAAACACAATTCACACTGGCCTCAGCTGTAAAAAACAAATGTTGATTTAAAGTAAAAATCCCGGCAAACACTTGTGGCTCTAAAAAGATTGGCCCAGGGTTTGTATTCAGCGCTTACATTAGCAAAATGTACATTTACATCAGCTTCTCGAAGTTCAAAGTGCAAAGGTCTGTCATACCACTTGAGAGAGCCAAAAAAAAAAGTCTTTGATTTCTTGTAGTTGTTCACCTGAAACAAGGATATCATTCCGTAGGGCGCACACTGCATATTCAGACTTGGTAAACTCCGGAAGTTTGGCCAGCGACTTCCACTCTCCTGTTACGGGATCATAGCACTCAGTATACGGCAAATTAAAGCCTCCGACTCGTTCACAGCCTCCAACAACAACTATCACCTCCGAATAACCGGTTGATCTGAAAAAGCAAAAATAGATAACTAAGGTTTATTAATATGTGGAGGGAAACTAAACAGCATTGCTTTCAAACATACTACAAGGTGAGAATATTTACTAATGTAACATTAACTTCCATGGAGGGGGAAAAAAATAAATCACTTAAAACTGTTCTGGTTTTTAAGTGTTGCTGGGTGTCCCACTATACAACAGGTTACCACATCAGTAGGTCTTCCAAGTAAGGGTGGAGTCACAGAGCATAACGTTCTCTGTAAAAAAGCCAAACATTTAAAAATGCAGAAGTCCTTACTCTTAGTAATGTTTCTTTTCCTTTAACTGAGAAAGCAGAATGTCAGAAAGAGTTGAAGCAAGACATGAAACAATTAGATGTGCAAATCTGCCACAGAACAATAATCAATCTTTCAGAGTGCTTTCCTGCTCAGTTTTAGAAAATTTATTATAGTACTGTACATTGCATAAGTATTTCAAAAGCCTAAAACACCTTCAACACACTGTTGGTGACTTCCTGAGTAAAGCTGAAGGCACAGAATCACCAAAGGAAAAGTACAAAAATAGATCTTAGAACCAATAAATAAATAATGCATCAAAACCATGAAAAAGTAGCATAGTGATAGAAGGAAGCACTGACGAATGCTGGAATAAAAAAAAGACAAACCTGAAAGAAAACGTAAAAATGGATGTATTGGATGGAAATATTAAATAGTCAGTATACAGAATTAAACTGTATATTTAAATCTTTAAATTCTGTTCAATATTCTTATTCACCTTCTATGGGACTTGGTGAGAAAGACTGATAGCTCTGCATTCCACATGCTCTGTTTATGTAAGAGCAGCAAATCATGTTATATTCTTTTCAACATGACAAGGGAGAGAAGCAAACCATCACCTTCTATATATAAATCAAATCATGTCTGAATCCTATTCCTTCACTTAAATTTATACTTCTTTTTTAAATATATAAACAATGGCCAGAATCCTTCTTAGCACAGCTTCTGTACATTAAACAATTTTGCACTAGGTATGGCTATTTCAAGAATTGCCGTCTATTAATTAACTATAAGTTAATGCAACACTGACTTTATTTTTTGAAATCCTTTTCGTGATATTGCACTTCAGCTTTTATCCCCATGTGAACAGTGGTTCCCTTTATCATTGCTGGTTTCTACGGTCTTCTCTAGGAAAGAGATAGCATCATCTTGTGACTAGGTATGAAATAGAAGTTGTATGATCTGCCTCCAGACTTCCTAACATATTAAAGATATATTAACAAACGTTGATGACGTTTTCCCCATTTTGAAGCACCAAGAAAAACAACCTAAGTAGCTATTCTATCTTCCTGTCACCACGTGCTGTAAATGAAGTAAATATTTCTGCTCCAAATCCTTAAGGCAGTAATGATAAATGATAAAGAACTATAAAATAATATCATGAAGATAAGTATATTAAGAAGCATATTTACCTACCTCAACCGACAACTTGAACCGCTTAGATGCTGGTGTCTGTGCATTTTCTGATACCATGTAATCTGCTTTATTTAGGAACAACTTGGGAAAGAATCTTGCAAAGGCAGGAAACTGCTGCACCTGCAAAGTGCTTCTCAAAAAGGGAGTTCCTTAATGCCACAATACTCAGCTCCCGACCTCCCTTACAAGCGAGCCAAATTACACCAACTGAGCACATACACAAAAGAGGTTTGTCTGTTGATTACTTTTCAAGATTAGAACTATGGCCTCCGCTTACTGAAAAACGTCTATACAGGATTGTTAATCACTTATAAACAAATAAACCACAGTTTCTGGTTGGAAAGAGCTCTTAATGAATTGCTATACGAAGTTTGCTTTTCAAAAGAAGCAATAATTTTGGTCAGTATTTTAAAAACCATGGATGGGCAAATAATTTAGTATCTAAATACTCATACGCTTGCTGAAAAAAATACTTTCTCTCCTGCATTTTCTTAAAAGGCTTGTCTTGTAGAGGCGTTGAGGTTAGTCCTGAAAGTTTTCTTTGCAAATGATAGCGGAAACACCAGTTAGAAAACTAAAAGTATGCGGGGCGCACAAAAGAACTTATAGGCAAATGCTAAACCCACAAAACAAACAAACAAACCAACCAAGACAAACAAGTAAAAGCCTCAGGACAGATGCGAATGAAGATGAGAAGTAGGAAAAGAGAGCACGCAGTCCTCTTGCCACCCATACCACAAGAGGACACGGCGATCGGGACCAGCACAGTGTCACCTGTACAGGACTCCCTTCAATTGTTCTAAGAGATCCCACTCAAAAAGACTTTAACCGCAGGAGACAAAATATGTGGATTTGAGAACTTTGGTAAATCACTGCTTTCCTCTGCTAATTCAGTTATGTGGAGCAATTGAGATAACAGACAGAAATAGGATGTGAAATTTTCTAAGTCATCTCCTTGGGGGAGAAAAATAAGGAAGCACATAAAAGCTTTTTTAAAGGTAGCTAGAAAGGACGGGTTCACAATGTATAAACACAGTAGCTTCTAATTAATTAAAACACTGGCATGTTTCAATCAGACATGCTTAAAGGAATTATATGATGAAAAACTTACAACAATATGAAAATCTGAAGATCTTCAAAGCAATGATGTAGGTGCCTGCTTTGCTTTGCACATGGAGATGTGTTATTGTCTATTGTTTGATCTTTGCATGGAGGTTTGTTGCTCAGCACAACCAGCAAAGGCCAGTAGAGGCTTAACAAACATGTGCAAGATGACCTCAAGATGTCACTATGTCATTGCGAGGACACAAGTGCAAACACCTTTCAAATGCTGCCTTTGTCCCTAGGCATCCCCACAAAAAGAGCCATCAGGCAATTGTTACCATACATGAAAAAGCAAATAACTAAAAAGGTTTGAACTTGCTTTATCCCTAGATACATACCTACCGATGCAAGGGAAGAGATCACAGTTCATTTCCCAAAGTTTCAATAAAAATAAAGTGGGATATCCTGCCTGAATGTATAATATAATGCACAGGAGCCTTATATATAGAAATAGAAAAATAAAAGCTGAGGGGAAAAAAAAGGCAAGAAAGAAAAGGACAGATCTCATTCAGATGTCTTTTCTTTCCAATCCCCTGAAGAAATGACCAGAAAAGGGGTGATGAAAGTATGGGGGAACTTGCCAACTGTTTAAAAACATATTCTCTTTTTGCTACAGGCAATAGAAACAAACAGGCAACAAACAACTGAGAACTATTCCGTGAGTGCAATATAGAGAAGGGGAAAAAAATGCTTGCTGGGAGGCCAGCCAGTTCTCCTCTCTATAAATTACTTCTCTTGTTGTTGCCTACTCAAATTCACAGTGCAGTTTAAGCTCAGCAGTAAAAGCTAATAACAACAACAAAACAATCCTCAAAACCCTAAGTTAAAAAAAGAAAAACTCACCAAGTTATTTTATTTATAAAGTAGTTCTTGACGGAAGTGTTCCCGAGAGGCTACGGAGTTTGTTGTGTGTGTATACACACATTTATGTGCGTGTGGGTGTACACACGTGTGTGTGCGTGTATATACATATAAACAATGTATACACACACGTGCATATGTATGTATGTATGCATATACACACACATATGTATACCACACTTTGACAAAACTGTTTGGTGTAAGCCTATTTGCTTTATCAAATCAAGTAATAAATTTACCACCCTGAAATAGCACAGAAACCTGCTTCCCTTCACACACACTCACAAACTGAAGGTGACTTTGGTCTGAATCCTTAGACCACCACGACCCCCCTCAAGCCCAAGTTGGGTGGGTAGGGTCCAATAACCCATCTCCAAACCACAAGGACTAGAATCAGGCATTTCTGAAGACCTCTGAGTCACAGCAGGAACTGGTAAAGGGGCAGCTGGGTGGCAAGGAGTTACCGCTCCTCCTCTCAAGGTTGGACAGCGAGATTAAAGACTGGAAAGCCACAGAGGGAGCAGATGCTTCCAAGTGTTTCTTCCTCTATAAGAAATCTTGTGACACACACCAAAAATGAATGTTCCTGCACTGGGACTTTACAGCAACCAGACATGACTAAGAATAACAAAGGGAATAACTTGCAAGCCACTATAACCGTTGCTCAGAGCAGGTCATTGCATCACTTCAGTATAGCACATGATTTTAAAACTGCAGTTAAAAACAGGCTGAGTCAATTAACAAGCTATCATGTGGAAGAAAGGCTTTTATCAGGGAAAATATGTTTCAGAAAGAGAATTACCATAACCAACACTTTCCAGAAATTGACTTTTCCTTGTTTTCTCTGGCAACTACCAGGCATTGTTCCTATTTGCATAAAGCATCATTAAGAAGCAGTAACTGTGGGTTATTACAATCTCAAAAACTTCCATAATTCCTTAAAAATGCAAGGTTTAGTTACTTTAAGAATATATCATTCTGATGTTAGAATAACACAGTTCTACACAGCAGATCCATGAGTAATGAGTGAATCACATTACAGCAAAACATCATCCTGAATTGCAAAACATCATCCATATTCTTCACAGTGCTTTGTACACCTAAATAATTTTGTTATAAAAAAAGAAAAGAGGTGGTAAACTGGAATAGGTTACCTGTGGCATAATAAAGTGCTTTTAGAATCACAGAATGATAGAATCATCGATCGCTTTGGTGTGGTGTTTCAAAAGGGTTGGGTGCACCCACCTAGCGGAGCCCAGGGACATTTGGTGAATCATAGAATCACAGAATGCTTAAGGTTGGAAGAAGGGACCTCCAGAGGTCACCTAGTCCAATGTCCCTACAAACGTAGGGTTACTTAGAGCATGTGGGACAGGGCTACATCCAGGCGGGTTTTGAAGGACTCCAGAGAAGGAGACTCCACAACCTCTCCGGGCAGCCTGTTCCAAGGTTCTGGCACTCTCACTGTTAAGAAAATTTTTCTTAAGTTCCTGTGGAAATTTTGGTGCTTCAATTTGCGGCCGTTTCCTCTAGTCCTATCGCTGGCCACCACTGAGAAGAGGCTGGTCTCATCCTCCTCACTCCCTCCCTTGAGGTACAGACACTGATCAGGACCCCCCTCAGCCTTCTTTTCTTCAGGCTGAACAGGCCCAGCTCTCATTTTAAGTTATTTTACCCAGCTGCAACATTCTTAAGATTCATGTAGCAAGCATTAACATTTAGAAAATATTTTACTTTCAAGGTAAAATAATTTCATTTACATCAGCAGACTCATACCTGGTACCAGAAAGAGACCTGTGCAAAATATCGACTTATTTACATTTTCTAGACGCATGTGGGTTTGAGCAATTGTGGGAAAGAGTTCAGAAATATAACTGAAGTGCTCCATAACATAAAATCATTTTCAAAAGGTATCTTTCTTGACCCACATATAATCAAACATCTATATATCAGATCATGTCCTTCTACTACAAAATGGGGGAAAAAAGGTAACTCACCTGCGTGGCCTAGTTCTGGGAGACATCATCTCATTTCCCAGGATATGGTACCGCCTGGCTTCATGCAGTAGCTGGTAGCACTCTGGGGAGTTCTGAATGAGCTGGTCCACTTCCACTGTCTGCACGAAGTAGTTGGGGTGCAGCAAGGGGAGCCTGACGTGCGTCAGAAGTTCATGCAACACTGGTCTTCTCAGCTCAACCGCCCGGTACACCCAGCGCATGACAGCTTCAAACACCATCTCTTCCTTAGTGATTACCAATTCATCACTGCAAATGTAATCAATAAGCTCATCCTTGCCCAGCTCCAGGAATTCTTCATGCTGGGACACATCCTCAAACGTCTGCAGAGCAAAATTCCTGCACTTGGTGAACAGCGTCTTAAGCGAGTGTGTATCTGCAAAACGCTGGATTCCCAGGCAGTTGCATGGATCCAGCTGTTCTTCCAGGAATTTGGCACAGGCGTCGCGCAAAACGCTGATCTGGAATAGACTAGATGTTTCAAAGAGATACTGCACGTTCTCAGTGGTGATTTTCACCTTGCCAGTGTATACATACTGCAAAAAGCAGTCCATAGCTTCAGCAAAGATACCGTTGATCTCCACCAGCATCTCCCTGCTTTCTCTGTGGTCATTGCAGAACATGGCTCTAAAGTAGCTGCTGCACGCAGAGAGCACTGCTCGGTGGCAGGGGAATTCTCTTCCTTCCACACAGATAATAACATCGGTGAACAGGCGGCTGTCTCTAAACTCGTTGAAGATCTGCAGAATGCTTTCAGCGTGGGACGAGCCCGAAGAGAAGTCAAAAAACTCATGGCCTGATAACGACTTTGGGTCCATTTCAAAAACTTTCCGCTTGGTTGCAGGGGAATCTCGTATCCCACTCTCCTCTCTATTCATGCGGCGTCCCAAGATTAGTACCATTGTTACCTCAGTTGGCTATAGAGTCATTGAGAAAAGTTTGTCGAGTGCCTCCTTCACAGCGCTACGGGCAGAAAAATTAGAACACTTCAGTATTCAAGCCAGGTTGCCCTTCATGCCACAACAAGAATTAGACAGGACACTTGTCTGGGCACTCTAAACATCAATAAGCCTCTTGACCTTGACTAGAATTTTGGCCGGAGAACAAACTTGCCCTGTGCAAGGCAGAGGAGCTCTACAGTTTGTACTGAAGATGTAATACACTGGAGATAGATAGGTAAACAAGATCCCAACACCAGTCAATCACCTAGCTGATGGAAGATAGGGGCTTCCCTGGATAAAAACCCAGGGCTTGAGCTTTTCCTTATTTACTATGCTCACTTCAGCTTCAATCCCCAGGTACTACTCTAAAAACAGCAATTAAAATGGGGAAAAAGAAAAAAGACTGAAACTTTCAGAGCAGAAATAGAGATGTGGTAAAAGAGAAATCACTCCTCCTTTTTCATTATAAAGTCCATCACAATAAGGTAAACTAAACATTATTAAACTCTAGTATTAGTAATCTCAGCAGGCAACCTTGACCACAGAAAAAACAGAAATTTTCCTGTTCATTCTGATCATCCAAAAATTAGTTCACTGATAATCTAAGATTCAATTGAAAATGAACATAGGCTGCTAATAAACATACTCATTCCAAATGTTTTTGTGTGAGATGTTAAGAGTATGACGAATAAGTTATAGAAGTAACATGAGAACAGGCTGAAGAAAGGTTACACTCATCTGTGTGAAAATTAGTACATCTGCGAGCAGGGACTAGAGACCACTTCCCTTCCTGAGGGAAAGGACATTTTCTGCTTTCCAGAGTAGAACTAGTGAGAGGGGGAAAAGAAAAAAAAAAAAGTATTAGCAAGTTTCTTGCTGTAAGGCTTTCAAATTTCAAACAGATAGTGTACCCATCCTTCCCTCCTCTAACACATATATATTAGACTATTATTAGAGTATTATTAAGGTTGCAAAAATCAAGTTAAATGATTAAAATTTGTGAGCAGTTGACTTTGCAGATATTGTCTATTACAAGTAATATAATCATCCCTCTTAGCAACTAGCATTTTGCCACTCCGTAACTTTAAAATAACCAAGATGAATGTCCATCAAAATATATCATGGTAACACTCCTATACGAGCAATAGGCCGAACCAATTACCTACATCTAACACAAATAGCTCTTCTATACATATATATATCTATTTTTTTTTTTTGGCTTGCATACCCAGGAGGATGTGTAGTGGATTATTTTTAAAATTGTGGAAATGATTTTCTCAAGCTTCCTAGAGATTATATTCATTTTCTTTCACTCCACACTTACACAGACAGGAAGGGTTAGTTTCAAGCCACAATTTCATTTCCTGACACACTAACATCTTTAGAGCTGCTATTAGCCAGGCCGAACATCGGCTACATCATCGCTTAATATAGCGCACAATAAACCCGGCTTTTTTTAAACAGTCCTTTCACAGAGCACCTTTAAAAGGCACCATCTTAACAAAGAGCGAGAAGAGAATGTACATCAGACCTCCACTCACCAGGGAAAAATGTTCTAAACCTATCATCTTCTGTACAATTTAGATCAACTTGTAGGCACATATTTACAAGGTATCCTGAGGCTTACTGAGCCTACAAAATATTTCATTTTAATTTGAATTTAAATGGCATCAGCTGTCATTTTGTTGCCTGAAAAACAGTATTGCAATGAATTAACCAATTGCTTCAGGGCAATATTATTAAGAAACAGAACAGCATTAGGGACTCTAGTCTATAGCTGCTATTCCGTCCAGTGTATTTTTAGCCATGTTATCCTGTAATGACCTTCGCCAGATAATAACAACATGCCCCAAAACTAGGATTTGATGGTGGTATCACAGACTTAAAACAGAAGAACTCCATCACAGTTAGCAGAGCTTTCCAAAAGCAAAGCTTGCCTTAAATCAGAAATAGGACCCTGGAGTACAGCATGACAGGGCAGCCCCTTTCCCTCCTGGCTATGTAAGGAAAAGCTCAAAGATTCAGTCTTATTACATGACATCCTGTGGCTCTGGAAGATCTTACATAAGGCAATCTTTAACAAATGGAAATGAGGCTTTTAGGTTACTACTGCTCACCTAAGGAAGCAAGGCATCTTTGTGCTTGTGACTTGAAATAACACAAAAACAGCACTCAGGGAATAACTTATTTCATTTTTTAAAATGTTCCAGTGATTTAAAGAAATGATGAAGTCCTACAGAGGAGAAGCTAGTCAAGGGGATAAATGACTGACAAGAGCGTAGAAAGGAGAAATACACTCCCCTGAAAGTTATATATTTTCAAGCAGAAAATATTGCTCAAAGACACTATGCTTCCATTTCCAGCCACTAAGATTAAGAACTAGCCTGTTTCTAACTCCAATGCAGAACGGAATAAATTAACACTGCAGGTTTGTTTATGCAAAGTGATTTTACAGGACAACCAGCACAGTTCAGCCCCCTAGAAGGGCAGGAGAGGACGTGGCCCCTGCTTTTAGCCACTTCAATGTGTGCAAGCGGGCTGCATGTACAAGGCAATACATCCCTCCGCATCGTCAGTGAGGCGGAGGTGCCTCACTGTGCGTGAGGCTACAGGTGGTATTAGAAAGCACCAACTTTTAGGCAGTTTAACATACAGATTGCTTCAGTAAATTTAAAGGAAGAGTAAGCAAGACAGGACCTTAAACATATCATGTATCTGTTCATTGTGCAAAACACAGACAAATCACACTTTCATTCAGTAAGTTTGTAAAATGCTTTAGCAATACCGAGATGCTGCGTGCATGTTACACACGCATCCCTAAGCTAAGCTCAGTGGCAGATCAGGTTCTTATTTCTCTTTACAGTCTGCAAGCCTATCTGCACAAGAGGTTGCACAGAAATGCCGCAGAGCTCTAACCTAGGGGCATGTAAGGGGGTCTGCAGGACTTGTGGCGAGTCTGAGCCCACGTGCCGGAGAATAGGGACTGTGGGCAGGCGTCAATGTCCCTTGCCACCGAGTACCAACATGTCGTGTTTACTGCTGCAACGACCGTAACAGGGCCTCCAAGGTGATGCAAGGATAAATATATAAAACACATGATGTTTTCACTTGAAGCCTAATGGCTAGGATTAACCAGGCCTGAGTCACAGTAATCTTCCTTGTGATTACAGGTAACATGACCAGCTAACCTACCTTATCTCTGACGTTTGCTTTCCACAAAAGTCCATCAATAAACTCCGAGGCTGTTACCTATTCCAAGACATTAGCTAAAACCACAACGCATGTCCTTGTTTTTTTCTTTCAGAAAAAAAACAGGAGGGAAAAAAAATCATAAGCTTCAACTTCCACCAAAAAGAAAAGCTTTCTTCTTTCTGTTAATCTGTGATACAAAATAAAGACTGCAAAGTTGTCGATTCTGAAGGATTTCTTCTAATCCTTCCAGTTTTAAATTGAAATTAAGTTTTGCATTCCTCTAGATGACTAAAATCTTCAAGTAAAGTCTTTAAGATGACTAAGAACTGGCAAGCAACAAAATTAACAAGCTCACTGGCATGGTAAGGAATTACCTACACTATGGAAATATTTTGTTTAATTTAATGTAAAATACCATTTTGAATCCAAAAAAAGAAGAGGAATTTCTTTATGTCAAGATTCCTTAACGATTAAGTTAAGGACACACAAAAACAGACTCTCTCAGGACCATCGAAAATCCCACAGCAAAAACAGGAACTGGATTTGGACATGAAACTCATTATTAAGTTCCAAAGGCAGGCAATGAAACTATCTATAGAACGTGCAAGGATTTTTAAACTACCTTTTTATGAATGAAGAGTCATCTAGAAGGACACAGATCCACCAAAAGACTCACAGCACATTAGCATTAATGTAAGAGTGTAAGAGATTTAAAAGTATCCCTCCAAAACATCACTCGCCATTACATATGCCCTGTATATGTGTTTCAATGACTTCCAAGTTATTCAGTCAATTGCTTACATTTTTGAAACAAACAAAACGCCACAACAGTCAGCAAATGTAACAGCATCCAGGACACATTCGCTATTATAGCCAAACGGGATTATTTTCTTACATAAAGAAAGTTTAGGATAGTTAATGATGTTGGCTTTAGGTTAAAACCTAAGTGTGCGTATATTCGTTAAAAGGAATCCTACATAAACAAGGAAACGCTAAACCTACAGAACAAACATGAACAAAAGCCAGGAAATTCAAAGCTGATAAACGTCCTTTACTTGCACTATTGACTTTCCTGTTTACAGTGACTCTAGCCAAGTACAGAGTCAGATGAAATTTGAGTCTTTTGTCTCACTGCGTCACAGCCCTAATGCATTTAAATATAGATTTTGCATAGGTCGTGTTTCCTGCAGTTGGCATGCGACTTCACCAGGTATTGTCACACGGATCCTATTTATACCTCACGCCCCAGGGGCTAACTGCAACTCGAGCGCAGGTTTTATCCCCAAACATTCCAGAGCTGTTGCTACCCCCTCTGCGCTATATAAAGCAACAAACTCTGTCGTTTAGAAGGGGAAAGAAAAGAAAAAAAAAAAGAAAAAATACAGAGGGAGGGATGCAAAGCTGAGGTTGCAGCCTCAGCTGCAGGTGCGTGGAGCTCCTCAAGGGGTCTGGGCCAGGCGGGCCCTGAGAAAAGCAGCTTTGTGGCCGCTCGGCAGACCTCCCGGGCTGTAGCAGCGCTCCGAGGTTTGTTTACTCCCGCACTACTACAAAATGGCAGCTGCCGCGCTTCGGCGTTAAAACTTATCTCGAGCACTGCAATGAAAACCAAGGAAGAGGCAAAAAACACCTCGCGTCCCCAGACCCTTGCAAACGCCACCGTGCCAAGGCCACTCCGGCCGCGCTCTGCAAGCGCCAACGCAATGATTAAAAACAGGAGGATTTTCAGCCCGGACGCAGATTTTTAAGCGGTGCCAAATGCCAACGGTGCAGAGGCTGCTCCCCGGGGCACACCCACGTCCCACAGCGGACGCTCCCGGTGCCGCTATGCTGCCCCCCTTCCCCACAAAAGAAGCCAACGGTTATTAACGGCCGCCAACGGTCACCGGGGACCCTCCTTCCCTCCCCCCCGCCCCGCCGAGCGGGGCTCAACGCGCATGCGCCCCACCCGCCGGCGCGCGCGCCCTCCAGCTCACCTTCACCCCGCGCCGCCCTAGCGACACGCTCCCCCCTCGCGCCGCGCCGCCACCAATCGGCGCGCGCCGCCCGCCGCAGGGCCCGCCCCTCGCCCAATCCCCGCCCGCGGGGGGCGCCGCGCGGGACGAGGAGGGGGCTGCGTGGCCGCGGGCCAGTTACGAAACCGCCGAGACCCTCGGGGAGCCGCGCGTGGGGTCCGCGGCAGTAGCGACCGTAACGGCCCTTGGCGGGTGCTGTCAGCGCCGCGACGGCCGCTCCCGCCGCGAGGGGCGTTTGAGGTGCCCGCGCCCCGCAGCTAACGGTGCCGGCCGGTCCCGCCTCCGCCCCACAACGGCGCCGCGCCGCACTCACGGGTGGGAGCGGGAGCAACGCTCGCCGCGCCGGGTCGAGTCGCGCCGGGTCGGGTCGCGCTGTCGCGCCGGCCGCGCTGCCAGCGCCACTCAAAACAAAAGAGGCCGGCTGCAGCATGTGACCTGCCGCGGCCAAAACACGTGACGTCACCGCCGCGCGCGGCCCTGGGAGCTGTAGTCCGGCCACGTCACGGCGCGGGCCTGCCCCCCGGCGCGTGCCCGCGGCAGCAGCTCGCGCGCGGGCCGCCATGGGGCCGCCGCTGCAGGCCCGGCTCTGTCGTCACGGCCCCAAGTCGCTTCACAACCCCTACTCGGACACAACCCCGTGCTCCGGTGTCCAGGCGCATGGAGATTTGTCTCTCCTCTGGCCTTTTGCACCAGCACACCTGCACAGCCATTGTGCAGAGCAGCAGGGCCAGGGCAGGGAGGCAGCTGCTGAACTAAGGTTGTTTCCCTCCACTCGAGGAGGCCTTGTGCAGTTGCGCAGGGCTGATGACGAGGGATGACCTGGCCGTGCTCGCCCTCCTAGAAGGCCCGAGGGCAGCAGCAGGAAGGAGCTGCCAGGCCACGCAGCACCACGCGTGTGGCAGCAGAGAGGAAGGGCTGTGTGCGCTGACAAAACCCAGCACGGCATCTCCCTCATCCTTCATTGCTATAGCAAAAAGGGGGAGCTTGGTTTTTCCCTTAGCAGAGAGCTACATCCCTCTCCTAAACGCCTGGTGTCAGTCATAAGCGTAATATAGCTTTACCTTTCAGCGGGTGCTGCTGCTCCTTCGCTGTAAGAGCAGCATCATGTGAGACCTGTGCTCAGGTCCCCAGGGCTGATCCGTTCTGGAACAAACCAGGTTTTTCACAAGCTTGATAAGCTCCACTTTCACCCGAGGCTCTGGCAAATGGCAGCTTTGCAAAACAGAGTTAGATCAGAGTTAGTTAAATTACTAAATAAAAGGCAATGCTTCTAAAAAAAGACTGAAAAATGTCAATTTTGGTTGTGCATGCAAATGGTTTTCATTAAGATCTTAAACATCTGTAACTTTAAACCTATTTTGTGCTGAGCTAAAACTCAAAACTGCTTAACAGATTTAATTGCAAGTGAGACTGCTCTGTGACTGCTGCATTTGCTGTCCGGAAAAGCAGGAAGGACCCCAAACAACACAAACAGCAAACAGTAGATGGACTGCCAACTTACTTCATATAGCACAGTTGCATTGCAATAACTAATTTCATCAGCTGAAGATAAAAATGTTTTGCTTGAAAGGTTTATTTTATCTAGTATAACCTCTTGTCTGCCCCGGTTTTTAACTCCTGGGGTTGCATAGTATGTGTAGCTCACTTCAGAAAACTTAAGAGAAAATAAAGGAAGGAGTAATGGGAAAATAAGATTAGAAGGTCAAGGTATCTATAAATTGGCTTGAAGGAGCTATCTTGAGGCAATAAATTTACTTAAAACAGCATGTGGCAGAAATATCTTGTGCGAAGAGGGTATATGGGGCATTTGAAAGATTAAAAATACTCATTGAGCAATCAATTGCTTCATAATATATACATGTAAGCATGCAGTCACAACCAGACACTGCAGTTCTGAAAGCCAACGTCACAGAGGATGTCTGAAATTAAGGACACTTGGGTTACTATTATGTCCTATTGTCTTCATTCCTGTGCTAGCAGGGGGATTGCTTGTTGTTTCTCAAGCTGTGTTGAGCGTTTCTCTCAAAATAAGCAGTTGCGTGTTTCCCAAAGAGCTGAAGCCAATTATTAATGTTTGCTCATTTCTATAAAGCTTTGTTAGTATTTTTGAACAATGTAAATTATCCATAAAGCATTTTGGTCACTATTTTCTGAGGACGTCAGTGATTTCAGAGGTTTTGAAGGCATGTTCAGCTAGACCCCAGAAAGCTTAAAAACTAACGCTGGAGGCCTACTTGACAGTTTTGCACACATCCACTGATGTTCGTGTTTTTCTGGTGGTGCTGAATTGGAAATAACACCAGCATCCAGCACTTCTCACACAATGCTCAACAACCCAGCTCAACAGCCTCTCCCCAGTGGGTCACTGGCACTTCCTTCAAGCAAAGACCTAACTATTTTGAGAGGTTGTTTGCCAGAACAGGCCCTGAGAATTTTCCTCTGCTCTGGGGAGCTCCTAATTGTATCCGATTGTAGAACAGAGCAAAATTTCAGAATATTTCAGAATATTTCAGAATATTTCAGAATATTTCAGAATATTTCAGAATATTTCAGAATATTTCAGAATATTTCAGAATATTTAAGGTTGGAAGGGACCTCTACAGATCATCTAGTCCAACCTTCCTGCTCAAGCAGGCACACCTAGAGCATGTGGCACAGGGTGGCATCTAGGCGGGTTTTGAAGACCTCCAGAGAAGGAGACTCCACAACCTCCCTGGGCAGCCTGTTCCACTGCTCTGTCACCCTAACAGTAAAGAAGTTCCTCCTCACCTGGAGACGGAACTTCTTGTGTTTCAGCTTGTGGCCATTACCCCTCGTCCTATCGCTGGCCACCAGTGAAAACAGCTTGTCCCCTTCCTCCCTGCATTCTCCCTTCCTGAACTTATACATATTAATCATATCCCCTCTGAGCCGTCTCTTCTCCAGAGAAAACAGGCCCAGCTCACTCAGCCTCTCTTCATACGAGAGATGTTCCATTCCCTTAATCATCCTGGTTGCCCTTCTCTGGACCCTCTCCAGAAGCTCCACGTCTCTCCTATACTGGGGTGCCCAGAACTGAACACAGTACTCCAGGTGCGGCCTCACCAGAGC